CGGCTTGCTCTGAATGACCGGCAACGACTCTGTCAACTTAAATATCATCATAAAGTCCCGGTTTTAACCATTTTTCTGGGAAAGTACATATAAACACACATTAAACATAAATTAGTCTAACTATGGATAGAAGTATCACCTTAGGCCTTAACATACGTATATTTAGGGGCTCGAATATGCATATATTCAGCGTTCATCACACCACAAAACATACATATTGTTAGTCCCTTAGCAATACAAAACTAAAAAGCCGATTTCGTGGGAATCATAGTTGCATTTAGCCTATGCAACAAGCCTTTAAACCCTTAGGTTACCCATAGTGGACGAGTTGTAGTCTCGTAAGAGTTTCTAGTGAAGATACCCACAAACTTCTCAAATCAGTGCCTTAATTGCACAGTAAGCTAATTTAGGCCGGTTTTCAAATCATATCATCCCTGCAGTTCATTAATTAGTCAAATACGGCAAGTATACCAATCATGTAATCAGAAAAACTTTCAACTTCAATTTCAATTAAGCAACCATGGTCCCCATGTATTAATTTAATCATTCACTCCACAATCTTAATCTCCGAAACACTTTTTAATATGATCTTACAATTCAACGTGTGGCTTACTATCCATACTTGCATTTATTCCTTACTATTTCTCAATTCACAAGCTAACTTTTCAAATTCCAATTCCCAAGGCATTAGTATTTTTTTATTTTTTTTCCATGGATATGCATTTTTTCAAAAAGGATACTGTGTAATGTTCAAGTCTATTAAGCTTTCTAAATTACCCATGTAATGAACTTTCAGCTAATGACTTCCAGACCAGATGGTCTTAGGGCATTAAGTATTGAAGCACCCCTTAGGACTTAATTGTTCAAGTTATCTAGGCAACCTAAACCCCTTATGTAACAAGCTTTCAGCCAACAACTCCTCAACCAGATGGTCTTAAGGCATTAGGTGTCAAAACACATCCCTAAGGACTTAATCACTCAAGCAATCTAAGTACAAACCTGAACTTAATCATTTTCTACTTCTTTTTCATTTTTTTTTTTCATTCACATTGGTGAAGAATTTTTTCTTTTATTGTATTGCATACATACCAATTTTTTTTGTTTCTATTTTTTCCTATGCCTTGGTTATCAAAATTATTAAATCTACCTGCTCATCTTAGTCTAACTCAAAACAACACAAGACTTCCAATTTTTACCCCACATAATTCATGCAAGTGTGACTATGTGTAAAGTGTAGCATCTTAGAGATCAACATTATTAAACATTAACCAACCTAACAAAGTGGACCACAGGCCACCAATTGATTTCAAAAAAATTTGAAGAATCCCTTTTCACATTATTTTAGCATACAAACCATTTCTAACCAACATCAGACTACCAGCAAAGTGTATGACCATGACAGAATCAAACTCATGCTTATAACATCAACTAACAAATCATGTTCTTGTGTAAGCAAAAATTTAAATTTCCCAACACAACCTTACCCCCAAACTTAGTGTGCACATTGTCCTTAATGTGGGAGAACAAAAGAGAATTAGAAAGATATTACCATACAAGTCTTTGTACTTATAATCTTATTCTCCTTGTTGGCCGCATCAAGAAGAGTGGCGGCCTTGCGTACTTTAGTACTGGATGACTCGACCTACTTCTGTATCGCCATCATGCCGAACAAGGTCTGTAGAGCAATGAATGAATACTAATTGAGCCGAGCGTATGTTCAAAACAATTAAGGAATGAAGAGTCATTTAATTCTACCAAATGAGAAATTAAAAATTACCTCCATAGTGGCAAGAGGGAAGTGACTGAACGTCTCCTTCTGGGATAGTGACTTAGCCACTTCAATATTTCTGGGGGACCACATGTTCTTATAATAAGCCATAGTGGTCTGACCCCGCATGAATATGGTCTCATTCGACTTAACAACCAATCCATCCCCTCGGATGAATCGAGGAGTCCATGGAGCTGCCTCGGAGGGAGAGGCAGCAGCTGTGCCGGATCTAGAAAGGACGGTTGGAATGTTTTAGGGAGGAGTAGGCACGATCGACCCTAAAGTTTGCATAGAGGAACATCATCAGGACTGGACCTACTATCAAGTAGAGGCCTTTTTCCTCACTCTTTGTCCTGAGCGGATGTTGTGTTGGTAGAGGGGTTTCTGACTTGTGAAGCCACGTTCGGATTGGGTGGTGAGGCAGTGACAATCGGGCTAGCAGTCACCACGTTCGGAGTGGTGCTGGAGGTGGTAGCAGATGAAGATGCCGAGGCTAGAGAAGAAGAAGTTGCGGAAGCAGCAACGACCCTGGGAGGATTCTTCTTCCTACTAAGGAAAGAATCCGAAGCTGACTCATAGTGGTGCCGAGGAGTGAGATATCACTAAGATTCTCGGACATGAGGAGTTCTGAACAGGAAGGGATGTCGTTCAAAACATAGTCCTTGAGATAAGTGAACCTATCCCTGCAAACATTGTAACTGAGTTCATTATTTTGCGGGATACCCAAAGAATTGCAAAGAAACGAACAGAAGTGAGGAATGCAAGTTTCACAAGGGCAGTCTGTCTTATGGGTTTTGAATTTCTTGTAAGAGGATACGGAGCATTCGCCAAAGGCGATTGGGATAGGGTAGTCCTTGGCAGCCGGAGCGAACCAAGCCCCCCGAACCCCAATAATGCCCTTTTTCCACCCTTTCTCGGACTTAAGTTTGTCCGTACAGATAGATCTCTTCTCAATAGGGTAAAAATGGTAATATACGTCCTCCAACCTGATCTTGTTGACTTTGTAATAGAGGAGAAGATCAACTAAGTCAAGATCTAGGCCTCTTTCATGGTTCAAAAGTAGCAGAGCGGATAGAACCCTAAGAAAATTGGGGTTAACTTGGAGAGGAGAAAGATTTAACCTATTGAACATGTAGCAGAAGAAAGGGTGTAGAGGGAATCGAATAATGTTGAGATGATGAAAGGAAAACAAGGTTTCACCGGGAAGAAGGTCGGCACCAGTTTTGATATTTACATTTTTGGGGTTTTCCCTAAGATGAATATCGGAAGGGAGTTGGAGTTTCATGCAAAGGACATCTAAATCTATAGGCATGATGAGAACAACTACGATCCTTGGGGGAAGTATGTAAAGATTTTAAGAAGAAGAAAGAAACGAAACTAACCTTGACAGGACTGAGAACTACAAAGGATGCTGCAGGGAAACTGAGAGTGAAGAGCCTTTCAGAGGATTCGCCGGAGAAGATTTGATTTGACCGGAGAAGATACAATTTGCCTTGAGAAAATGGACTGTGAATTGATTGACAACAAGATATGATGGATACGGCAAGGAAGGCTGTGGATGTGAAAGAATGGTATATAAAGGGAAGGTGGACCCATTAACCGAGACGTCACGAAGTTAAAGAGATTCAAATTTCAAAACCATTAATTCCGAGGCCAACCGTTCGATGCCCCACGTGATTGCCTTGAGCCATCAAGTCATCATTAGCCGTCAAGTCATCATTAGCTCAATAAATAATCACACCCTAATTAATGAAGGAGTGATTATGGGGGTAGTTGAGGATTCCAAAGGCGGCACGGGCCGGATCCAACCCACATGATGAAGAATGGGCCTGGTAATTGACCTGGGCCCGAACCGAGCCTTCATAAGGCAGGCCCAATGCTGAAGAGTGAAGCTAAAAACCCTTGAAGATGATCAGGCCCAAGATTATAAAAGCCTCGAGGACAAGCCAAATGGAAGAATTAGTTAGGAATCTTCTAGAACACTGTAAATAATCTATAAATAAACGAAAAATAGAGAAGAATAGGGATCGAAAATTTCTTGTAGTGTAATGAAACTTTGTCAAAATAGAGAGAAAATTCTTGCATCTTCAATGGCGAAGAAACATGTTTTTTTATAACTGAGTTTTCAAAAAATAGTTTTCTAAAAAATGCCTTGGTTTGTAATTTTAAAAATAGTTTTCTGACAAAAACTGAAAATAGAAAACTATACAAAAAATAACTCAGTTATAAAAAGGCATGTTTTCAGGGAACTGTCATTTATTGTTTTCTAAAAACTATTTTCTGTTCTCTGAATTGTTGAAAATTGTTTTTAAAATTACAAACCAAGCAAGATCTTTTTTTGTACAGTTTTATATTTTTAATTTTCTGTTCAGAAAACTATTCTTATAATTATAAATCAAGCAGACCTGGTTTCTGATTGAAAATTAATTCAACTATTAGTAGAAAACTGATATATTTTCTATTTCGGTTGATATATTTTTTCAACTTTATTTCGTTTGATCAGACGTGGCTTTCACACCACAAAGCTGATGTGAAAATATATAAACTAACCTTGAAATTGCGTGAAAGAGGAGGTTTGAAAGAAAGAGAAGTCAGTGGCGGGTGAAGAGGAGGTGCCGCCTGAGTCGAAGTAGTAATGGGTCTCGTTGCCGCCTGCCAAGTCTTTTGTTTAAGCTGAGCTCGCGAGCTGCGTTTACGTGTGTGTCTCCGTTCAAACCCAAAACCCATCAAGCCGTATTGGGTCTCGTTACTGGGGTCTTTTGTATAAATCTGGGCGAATGTTAGGGCAGTGTGATTGGTGGAAAAATGTATGGGATGGAGATGCAACTTTTGTCAACCTGTGTATTTGTTTATAGAGAGAGACATTAAGATATGTACAAATTGAAAAACCATTGCATGAGGGTGAAAGCTGTGGAAAAACACTTATTGAAGCACCAATCCAGCACTACTTCTTTAACTTATTAAATTTAAATTCAAGTTTTTCAAAAATCACACCTGCTGCACACAACCACTTTCGAAAATGACAATGCTTGATATATAGTATGATAATGCTTGAAATAAGTGAAGGAAATCGATAAAAATTGATTTTGTTAGAAGGGTTCAAACTAAGTACCTCAAGAAGCTAGCCACTTATTGTGAGACTCTCTCAATGTCCTTGATTGAGGCTAGAAGATCTAAATCATCCTCGACCAAGTATGGAGTGTTTTTTAGATGATCGAATTTGAGGAAGAACTCCTCTGAACCAGAAAGACTTGAGATTAGATGCAGAGAGTGTGCCAATTCAATCCTGCTTCACATAGGCCTTTTTGGTTCCCAATAATGGCTTCCACAAGCACAAACAGAGTATCTTCCTCTTCTACACCTACCCGTAAATCAAAATACGATGTATTCTTGAGCTTCCGAGGTGAAGACACTTGCAAGAACTTTGTAGACCATCTGTTTGCTGCTTTGTCTCAGAGTGGAATCTACACTTTCAAAGATGACGAACAACTCAGAACACGGAAAGAATTTTCACCCGCACTCTTGAAAGCAATCGAAGAATCGAGTATCGCTCTCATCGTGTTCTCCAAACGCTATGCTTCCTCCAAGTGGTGTTTGGATGAACTGGTGAAAATCCTTGAATGCAAGGAGAAGATGGGGCAAACAGTTGTTCCAATCTTCTATGGTGTGGATCCTTCGCAAGTGCGGAAACAAACAGGGAGCTTTGCAGCAGCTTTTAAAAAACATGAGGAAGGTTTCGATGGGAAGATGTGGGAGAAGGTGCAGAGATGGAAGACAGACAGCTCTTGAAGAAGCAGCTAATATAGCCGGACATAATCTACAGGATACAACATATGGGTAATCTCCAGAAATTCACTCTACTTTTATTTTCTATTTAATCTTTTGCTGTTCATTTAATCTCAAAAGGTATTGATTTAGATTGGAATTTCACTTGACTAGAATTCTATTGTTAAGATCAAGCATGGAATTCATTTGAAACTGAATCCTTTTTTATTATGTTATCCAAATCAAAAAATGAAATAATCAAAAACTCTAAAATTTGTTCATATTAATATTATTAAAAAAATATTCTTGCCAAGTGACAACATATTCATTTTGTATTGTATGTTAATAGTATATACAAGTGTGTGCGTGTGTTTTGTGTATGTATATGTCTATGTTTATCACGGATTACTCTGGATTAGCTGAATAGAAAAATTTCAAGCAAAAGGCTAAAATCAAATAGTTGGATATGGGGATCAAAATATTAACTAATTCCTCGAGTTTCATTGAAAAAAATAGTAGAAGGAAGCTGCCTCTGCTAAGCCTAACGGAAGTATTGGGACAGCAGAAACGAACACACGTGAAGAGAAAATTTTCAAGAAAAGGCTAAAATCAAATAGTTGAAGGTGGGGATCAAAATATTAAGTAATTCCTCAAGAGTTTAAATGAAAAAAATAGTAGAAGGAAGCTGCAAGCTTGCTAAGCCTAACCATAGTATTGGGACAACAGAAATGAACACACATGGAGATCTAAGAACAAATAATAAACCAATCACATGAGAACACAAGGTTTTACTAGTGCGGCATAACTGCCCTACGTCTAGGATAATATTGATTTCACTGAAGGTTTTTTTTTTTTTTTTTTTTTTTTTTTTTTTTTGTAAAAAAAAATTACAACGGTACAAAATACCCGGCCAATATTGGACTGTGTACCTACCTCCCACTTTAGGGTCTGGTGGTCAATACCCGAGCTTTACACATGTACCACTCCATGAGACTTTGTCCTTCCATCCATTCTACTAACCGCTAACCACATCTCTAGGAGCTGTGTGACGTCGAGGACCAGAGACCCTCACACATCCATCAGTTGCCTCACGAGCTACATCTCTCTCAATCTCAAAAGTCTCAGCTCATAACCCAAGTATCTATATAGAGTCCCAAACCAAGGATTATAGTTCTTTGTTGGACAAGGATTATAATTCCTTGGAACCTAGTTATAACCCCAACAAGAATTTTCATAAACAAAATATGAGCCTAAACTAGAAATATGGAATGCCTTTAAATGCAATTGACCAAATGACAGTGGAGAAGAACTTTTAGAAGATGTGTAGACTTTGGGGGAATGATATATACGTGGGAGAACATGTCAAACTTTGGGGGAATGAAAAATAGTTATGATGATCCACTGTTATAAATTCTTCTTATGATTAGAAATTTTCAAATTTTGAACTAACATAAATTAATAGTATGTATATATTTATATATGTTTTTATTTATTTATTTATTTATTTATTTTTATTTTTTATTTTATAAAGACAGTCCTGCAGCTGCTTTAAAATTAAAATTTCTCATGATTTTATAAGGTTTTAGTCACGTGCATTGAACATATCCATTTTACTAGTATTTATAAAAGGGGCTTGAATTTCTAGAACATTTTCATCCGAGATGAAAATATCGGCTACTATGTTGGTATTGGAGGGATTGGAAAAACAACGGGCTCAACTGGTGTTTAGTGATGAGAGAGTAATTAAGCATTTTTATCCGAGAATTTGGGTTTGTGTTTCTGAAGATTTTGAAATTAAGAGGATTATAAAATTAATTATAGCATCGGTGTCTGGGAAATCTTGCCCAGACTTAGACTTGGATCATCTCCAAAGAAAGCTTGAATATAAATTGTATGGAAAAAGATATTTACTTATTTTGAATGATGTGTGGAAAGATAATCAAGAAAAGTGGGACTAAGTTAAAATGCGTACTAACATGTGGATCAATGGGTGCTTCAAGTCTTGAAAATGCTAGAGAGATTCTAAAGTTGGTGTGGTGGAGACGTGTGTGAGTTGAGTTGTCCCATTTTCAAGACAGTTAGTGGTAATAACTGAAGCACCTATTGATCCACTTGATAGTATGCATTTTAACTTGTCCCACTTTTCTTGATTTTTGTTTCACACATCATCTAAAACAAGCAAATATCTTTTCTCATACGATTTAGGTTGAAACTTTCTTTGAAGATGATCCAAGTCTTAGCAAGACTCTCCCATACTAGATACACTAGTACTCAACTAGAGATAATCTAAAGACGATTTAGGGTTTTGTGACTGTATGCGTGGTGCAAGTTTGGTAAGCCCTTATGGAGGGGGCTTCATCCTCCTTCCCCCCACTGGCAGTATCTACTGTCCGGCCAACTACTATACCTATACCATCTAACTCTCGCCCCTTGTGGCGAAGTTGTTTTGAAGGAGGTGAAACTAACTCCTTCGTTAACCTACGATATGTTAGTACGGCTATTGGATCTAAAGTTTCCATTACTGAAGAGGATGTTGCAGAGGAAATCAACTACTGGAAATCTTCAGTTGTTGGATATGTGATGGGTAAGAGGCCATACTATCCTCATTTCAAGGCTTTTATTGAAAAATACTGGTCTAAAGCAATTACCTTGGTGTATCTGAAGAATGGCTTCTTCATGGTATGTTTTCAACATGCAGCCGATGTGCAGAAAGTGTTATCACGTATTCATACGTTTGAAGGCCGCGTAATTATTATTAAACAATGGAGTAAGAATGTTACTTTAAAGCGGGAGAATTTTGATTCGCTTCCAATATGGATTCGTGTTCATGACTTACCAGTCCATTGTAGGAACTCTATTTCATTATCTAAGGTTTGTTCATTGTTCTCAAAGCCAATTTACATGGATGAACCTGATTTACATTGTGATAAAGGTGAGTTTGTTCGAGTAATGGTTGAAGTGGATGTTCGCCAGGATTTGCCAGAATCTATGGTGGTTGACATACATGGTGAGGATTGCACTGTTAATATTGAATATGAATGGAAACCGGTGGTGTGTTCTTTATGCCAGCGGGTCGATCATGCTGCAGCCAGGTGTCCTCAAAAAGTTCTATCCAAACCTAAACCAAAGAAGCAGATGGTAGACAAATGGGTTGTGAAACATAAAGGGAAAATGGTGAAAGTTGAAGATGGACACCATGTGCTTGATAAAGAGCCCGTGAGACAGTTACAAAGTGTGATACCCCTCGATTCTAGAGCCACGGGTGATCAAGTCCGAGCACAGATCCGAAGGATATCAAACAATTAATATTTAATTGAACACAGATGACAAAATGAATTTAATAAATAAAGTTTAAGCTGGAAGAAACTAAAAGTAAAATCCTTTATAATTAAACACTTAGAATCTGATAATCCAAAACTCCATCAACTTAACAACTCGGGAATCCATCTCTAGTGGACCCCTAATAAAAAATCCCAAACTAAATGAGAGTAAAAACTGAAAATAAAATCCAAATCTAATATTTGGAAAGAAGTCCTATGTCGACGGTAGAATGGAAGATCGTCTCTACTCAGCACGAACAAGCTCTAGACTGGAAATGTCCGATACCTGAAAAATGATGAGTGGGTCAGGCCCACATGCAAGTTTTATACTACTACTACCCAAGCAGAGACTCGACACGCATGTACATCCTAACCAATCCAACAATAGCTAATAGTCCGTAAATAAATATATATATATAATCACACTACAGGACTCTCACTGGATTACAGGCCTGTCTCAACCTGACTAGTAGGCACCATGCGAAAACGCACCCAAAGGTGGGCATGACTACACAGCCCTAGCAGGGTACACATCTAACCATCATAGCCAGTTATGCATCCCAATGCATATACGCTCCCTAACCAACGACTCTGAGTCTCAAGCTCATTTCGTGGCATCATAAAAATATATTTAAATTCCATTCCAAACCAAAGTGTCACTCAATTATTTATTGATCTGACACAGAAGACAGGTAGGACTTAACTTTTGTAGTTAATCCATCCCTTAATCTAGAATAGGTAGGACTTAGCATTTTTTTGAGCTAATCCCCCTAGTATGACACCGTCCCATACCGGTGCATACAAACCATCCATCCAGTATTGATAATATATATATGATAGCATAACATATCAATATCAATATATCCAATCATAAGCATAACAAGAATGTTTAATTAGCATGCTTGTTCCATACATCTAGTACCTGATTCTCTGACACATTTTTAAATACAGAGAAGAAATATAACCATCCTGTAACTCACAATAAGCATAATAATAATAACAATAGTATATACATGCTTACTTGTAATTATTCCACAACATTCCACAAGTTGACATAAATAAATTCTTGGTAACATCAACTGGTTCCTTATTAAGTATTAACTGAATTTATATTAGTTAATAGGCTTAATCCCTATACCACTGATATATGATTTACATATCAAACTCCTAATTTAGTTGCTAATTTAAAATTAATCAACTTGAATCATCTACAAAATTTCAACTATGTAAACTTCCTTAAAAGTGTCTTACTGTCACTTATGAATATATATAATCATTCTGTAATCTAATAAACTTAATTTAAATTACAGAAAGATGATTTAACAATATTACCATTCCCAGATAAATTGCAACTCATAGGGTTATGCACTTAAAATCCTCTGCCTCCAAGAACAGTCCATAAGTTCACCTGAAACTATAACGGTTTAAATCTACCGATTTCTTTGTAATTTATTATGTATCATCACACCTTCAGAATTTCTAATAGGACTTAGATGCTACTAAAACATCCCTGCGTAGCTCCTAATAGCATCTGAAAACACCAAATTCTGAAACCCGTAGCCAAAACCATCACTGAAAAGGCGAAAAACTGAAACTTGTTGAAGGAGCCGGCTCCACACAAAGTGGAGCTGCCTCCACTACCAAGTAGAGCTGGCTCCACTACAAAGTAGAGCCTGCTCCACTTTTTAATTGAGCCTGCTCTACTTGAAATACAGCAGGCTCCTTCCCCTGTGCGTCGTTTTTCCAATTCCGGCGGTGTCCGGCTGTGTTGATCCTCCAAACCAAATTTCTTGCTGATTAAAATTAAGTCCTTGGGTATTCAAAACTTAATTAACTTCCTTGATTAATAATCACATTCAGTGGGAACAAGAATTAAACAAAATA